GTTGGTGTTATGTTTTGGTGTTGCTGTGCTGCTGTTGCTACTGGGGATGCTGCTGCTATTGCTGTTGTTGTGTTTGGGTGTTTTTTCTGTCCTGTTGTGTTGTTGTTTTGTTGTTGTTGTTTTTGCTGCTGTTGTTGCTGTGCTGTGCGCTGCGCTTGTTTTTTTTGATGCTGCTGCTACTTTTGCACTGGGATTTTTGGCTTTGTTGCTATTGCTGACGAGGTTTTCCCTGCTTCTACGTTTTTTCTGCTGCTGTTTTTTTCCTGCTTTTTGTGTTGTTTCTGCGCTCCTGCCGCTGCCGCGCTGCTGCTTTTATGTTTGTTAGAGTTAATTTCGTGTCTTCCAAATGATTTCCTTCTTCCTAGTGCTTTCTTTGCGTTTATAATCTCAAGGCAAATCTCACCGTTTTAAAAGGGTTTTTAACAGTTTTTTTTCGGGTTGTTTTAACAGAGTTTTTAAAGGCTTGTATTTTCTATAATCCACATCCTTTTTTTATTTAAATTTCCTCATAGCCCCTTTGCTTAAATTTTTTTCATTTATTTAAATAAAAAAAGCGTAAGGCTTGTAGGTGTGTGAACCCCCACCCCGGGGGGGTAAAATGCGAGTAGTGTGTGTGAACCCCCACCCGGGGGACGTAAGTGCGTAGTAGTGGGTTTTGAACCACCCCCGGCGGGCGTAAGATCGGTCTTTACAACTTCTCGCGGTTTGCTTGACTATACCCCAATAAGAGTAAGTAAGATAAATTTGTTGGATTTTTAACCCCCCGGGGGGTTTTGCCACCCAGGATAACCCCAAAAAAGTCATGCGTATCGAGGGGTGTCTAACTTAACCCTTGGGGGGTTAATCTTGTCCCCCCGGATGGACCCCCCACCCTCGACTAACACCCGGGACCTATTTGCTGCTAGGTGAAAAAGGGCAACAGGTGTAAGGAAACGTGTCGGAAATTTTCCCCCCCGCCGGGGAAACGAACCCGGGCCCCCCCGTGTGTGAAGGGGGCTTTTGCCACCAGACCCGGGCCACCCAGTTTGTTTTTTAGTTTTTGGGGGTAACTGTTTTGAGTTTCTTAAAGTTTTCCTGTCATTTTCTCTTGTGGTGTTTATTTAGCATTTTTTGGTCACCTGTGTTTCTCGTCTGAGTGAGTTTGGCAGTAAATATTCCATCTATTTTTTTCCTTCTCGTGTTCACGTCCTGTTACGTTCCAGTATTTTTCTCGTCCTTCGTGGAGAGTTTTGTGAGGTGTGTGTGTGTGTACTCACCCAATTGTGGTTGCAGGGATCGAGACATAGCTCCTGGCTTCGCCTCTTCACTGATCGCTACTACGTCCTCTCTCTCTCTCTGCTTCCAGAGCTTTGTCATACCTCGTCTTAAAGCTATGTATGTTCCTGCCTCTTGTGTGTGTGTGTGTGTGTGTGTGTGTGTGTGTGTGTGTGTGTGTGTGTTGAGGAATAATATGAAGAAAAAACAAATGAACCTTTAGTGTGTTTGGTCACTCACTGGCAGCCAGGTGGAACACAGGAACACAGACGAAACACAGGAAGAAACACAGACAGAACACAGGAGGAAACACAGACGAAACACAGGAAGAAACACAGACGGAACACAGGAAGAAACACAGACGGAACACAGGAAGAAATACAGACTAAACACGGGAAAAAACACAACGGAACACAGGAAGAAACACAGACGGTGTACAGGCCTAAGCATTTTCCACCAGCAGACGTCCAGGACGTATGTACGTGTGTGTGTGTACGTGTCCACACCGACAGTCACGTACTTGTCCACACTGACAGTCACGTTCAGCAAACAGCTTTTTTCATGCTACCTAAATCCATCCTCTGGCTGCACTGTGTACTTACTTAGCTGCTCTTACGTGGGTAAAACTACAGCTCCTGGTCCCGCGTCTTAGCCTTCAGTCGACTGTCGTAGTTACACGTCTTCGTCCCTCGAGTTCCTTGGCTGCTGGGATAACCAAGTAGGGCAATAGCTGCGCCATGAAGATAAATGGTACAAAAATACCGACAATTTGGAAAAATGTACACAAATGCGGTACAACGCGATTCTTTATTGTCTTGATAAAATCCACTGTGGGGGCGAAACATCGTACTGTACTGCATATGTGTTTATTTTTTCCAAAGCTACGCTATATTCAGTGTCTAGGGTACATTATTGACCACTTCCCACCCAGGGTGACTGGTACCCTGGGTGTGTGTGTGTGTGTGTGTGTGTTTGCTGCTAAGTAAGCCAGGGGTATCGGGGGGGTGTAAGAGAAAGAGGTGCTTGTTGTAACCACCGTGCAGGGAATTGAACACGATTCCTTGGGTTGTGAAAACGATGGCGCTGATGAAGATTCAGGTGCCTCCTTCTTCTCCTCCTGCACCGCTTACCCTGAGGCTTCCATCACTGTCATAACACTGTTACATCACTGTCTCATTACAGTCACATCACTAACATCACTGTCACATCACTGTCTCATCGCTGTCACATCAGTCACATCACTGTC